GTTCTAGCGGCTGCTGGCACTGCTAGCACGGTTCTAGCAGCTGCTGGCACTGCTAGCACGGTTCTAGCAGCTGCTGGCACTGCTAGCACGGTTCTAGCGACTGCTGGCAGTGCTAGCACGGTTCTAGCGACTGCTGGCGCTGCTAGCACGGTTCTAACGGCTGCTGGCGCTGCTAGGACGGTTCTAGCTGTTCTGGGGCAACTATTTCCAGGTGGGGCGACGGGTTTCAGGTCTGGGGGCGGCGGATTTCTGGTGTGGCGGCGGTTTTCTGCTCGTGGGGCGGCAGATCGCGGGTGAGGCGACAACTAACAGACTAGGCGGCGGGTAAGGCAGCGGGTGGGGCCGCGTCTATGGGAAACGGGTGGGGCGACGGGTTGCTCGTGCGCGCGGCTGCTACTGTGTATGCGTGCGACTAACGACGGGGCCGGGGACCATGGACGAAAGGGCGCGGGGCCCGCTAACGAAGGGCCGCGAGGCCCGCTAACTAACAGCCGCGACGGGTGACGGGCGACGGGAAAAAAATAAAAAACGGCCGCGATCGACGGGGGGAAACGGGCGACGGGCGACGGGCGACGGGGTGGGGGGGGTGGTCTACGGGCGTCGCGGCCTAGGGTAAGCGCGCTACGGGCGGTCTAGGATGGGGTGCGACTAGGTGGGCCCATAACTTAGTCCAGTGATTTTCCTAAGGGGAAAAACTCGCTATGGTTAACCTTGCTCTATACCATATCACAATGTAAAATATTAACTATGGAATGAAGGTACAAACAAGTTATAGCGAACCCTAGCATCAGTTCTAGCACAAGACAGAGAATGTACAACACCTAGACTAAAACTATATAAACTATATAGAAATATAGTTTGACAGTCCCCACAGGTTGCTGTGTCCGGTCAGGTTGTTGTGTCCGGTCTAGTTGCTGCGTCTTGCTCCTGTCCGTCCCTAGCCCACCCGACCGTCTTGTGGCACCACCGCCTTGGCCACCCGTCGCTCCCCCGCCTCCGTAGCATGGCCAGTCATAGTCTTGTCTCAGGTCTCCCGCGCATCTTTTTGTCGCTCCCTCCCTCGCTTGCTCAACCTTGCACTCTTTGCGTCGCCGGTCGCCTGCGCGCCACTCCGCACTCCTCCTCCCTTCGTCCGACCACTGCTCCCTTCCAGACTCTCCACCTGGACGTCTGGGGCTATGCTTGGACCTTAGAGGGAGCGCTACTTTGTAGTTGTCGTTGACGACTACTCGAAGTACACCACGGTGTTTCCTCTCGCGAAAAAGTCCGAGGTGACTTCTACGCTGATCCGGTGGCTTCTGGCCACTGAGAGCACTCGTGGTAGTTGTGTCCGTTGTCTCCACTCCGACCGTGGGGGTGCGTTTCGCTCCGGCGTCCTTGCCGAGTTCTGAGGCGAGCAAGGCATCAGACAGTCCTGGACGCTGCCGGAGTCCCCACAGCAGAATGGGGTTGCTGAGCGCCGCATTGGCTTGGTCATGGACATCGCCCGTACATCTATGATCCATGACCGTGCGCCCCATTTTCTGTGGCCCTACGCACTGCGCTACGCCGCGCACCAGCTGAACCTCCAGCCACGTGTCTCGCGGCCTGAGGTTTCACCGACAAGTCTTTGGACTGGTTCCCCTGGTGTTGGGTTGGCCTTTCACATCTGGGGCTGTCTTGCGCTTGTCCGCGACACCACTGCGGACAAGCTCTCGGCTCGCGCCATCCCTTGTGTCTTCCTTGGTTTCCCGGTGGGCTCTCCCGACTACTCCTTTTACCACCCGCCCCTCCACCAGTTTCTAGACTCTCGTGACGTCCGGTTTGACGAGTCAGTGTCTTACTACACCCGGTACCCCTGTCGAGGTCTCTCGGTTCCTTCTCCCCCCCTCTTCCTCGCACCCTCTCCTCCCACTACTCCCGCTCCTCCGGTACCCCCGCCCCCCCCTGGTCCTGCCCCGTCAGGTGTGTCTCACGCTACCCCTCTACCCTCGGTCGCGCGTCAGGTAGCGTCTCCCTCCCCGCAATCCTCCTCACAGTCGTTTCAGCAGCCTTCGGCACTTCCACGACAGGTTACTGTGGACTCGGTTGGTGTTGGAGCAGGAGGTGCATCCACTGGCGGAACTCGGTCTGTGGGTGCTCGTTCGAGGGGTGCTGGAGCTGGAGGTGCTGACGCAGGTGGCGCTAGCTCTGGGGGTGCTGGGGCTGGAGGTTCTGGCACTGGAGGTGCTAGTTTTGGGGGTACTAAAGCTGGAGGTGCTGGCACTGGAGGTGCTAGTTCTGGGGATGCTGGTGCTAGAGGTACTGGCACTGGAGGTGCTAGTTCTGGGGGTGCTGGAGCTGGAGGTGCTGGTACTGAGGAGACGGGAGCTGGAGGCTCGCCTACTGCGCGTCCCCACCGCCACGACACCCGTTTCCAGGCCCTTCGCCGGCTTGAGCGCGAGGAGCAGGAGCGGGTGGAGCAGGAGAGGCAGGAGCTGCAGCGGTTGGACCACCAGCAGCAGCAGCAGCAGACGACGCAGTCGCCACCTTTGCAACAGCTGTTCCCTCCAGTGAGTGGCCTTCGGGCCCTTAGTTTTCCTTCCTCTCCTCCTGTCCACTCCCAGTCACCTATTGCGTACGGTCCTACGTTTCCTCCTCCGGACTCGACTCCGGCTGTTTTCTCTCCTCCTCGGTCACGGTCGTTTCCTCCTGTTGTCTCGCACGACTGGACCAGTCGTTGTCCTCTGCGTGCTCGGCCCTCGTCTCCTCTTGCCGACCTCCGCATTGTCTTGTTTCGTTCTCCTCCTCGTCATTCTCCGCCTGTGTCTGTTCTCCCCTCACCTCCTGAGTCGTCTCTCACCGTTTCCTCTCACCCTATCACTGACTACTACTGTGCTGCTCTCCTTATTGTCTCGTCACCGACCCTCGTGCCCCTCCGTCGTCTGTCTCGGCTCTTACTGTCGCTGTCGCTGACTTTGCTTCCACCCGCCGTCTTGATTACCCCAAGCATAACGTGGCTGCTTCACCTCCGCGTCCTCTGTCCGTCGGGGGTGAGTCTGCCTTTGGCTGTGACGTCCTAGAGGATTGGCAGGTTGAGCTGGAGTTCTTAGCAGCCGCTTCCCCCTCTCTCTGCGCCAGGCTGTTTTCTCTTGAGGGAGATCCCGACGCCCTTGACATATCGACACCTCGAATGTACCGTTAGGCAGTTTCAGTGAAGTGAGCCTCTTGGTGGAAGGCGGCTATGGATGCAGAGTTAGCGCCTTGGGGATCCACAGGCACGTACGTCAGCGTAGTTCCCCCTCCCATGGCGAACGTTGTCGATGGCATGTGACTCTTCAAGGTGAAGCGGCCGCCTGGTTCACTGCCTCTGTTCAAGGCGCGCTACGTAGCTTTAGTCAGCGTGAGGGGGTTTACTTCTTCCAGACCTTCGCCCCGAACCCGAAGATGACTACTCTTCGGGTGTTACTGCGCGTAGCAGCACTGCGAGATTACGAGCTGCACTCCCTCGACTTCTCTACTGCGTTTCTCCAGGGCCGACTGCACGAGGAGATCTAGCTGCGCCGTCCTCCTGGCTTCACTGACACCTTCCCACCTGGGACCCAGTGGAGCTTGAGGCGACCAGTCTCAGTCTCCGTCAGTCGCCCCGTGAGTGGTACGACACTCTGCGCTCCACGCTTCGCGACCTTGGGTTTCGTCCTTCCTCTGCCGACCCGTCACTGTTTGTTCGCACTGGTTCCTCTTCTTTCTTTATACTAATGTACGTCGACGACTTGGTCTTTGCTACAGCAGACAGGGCAGCTCTGACTGAGGTGAAATCCGAACTGCAGAAGAGACACAAGTGCACTGACCTCAATGAACTGCAGCGCTACCTTGGTCTGCAGATCACCAGGGACAGAGCCGCTCGCACCATCACACTGACTCAGACACACATGATGCAGCAGGTCCTTCGGCGGTTCGAGTTTCAGTTCTCCACCACACAGCCCGTTCCTCTTGCCGTTGACCACCGACTCACCAGCCCTTTTCCTGACGAGCCCTTTGAGTCTAGTGGCCCCTACGCAAAGCTAGTGGGCTGCCACATGTACCTGATGACTTGTACTCGGCCGGACCTCGCCTTTCCCCTCAGCGTCCTCTCTCGTTTTGTTGCGACTGGGAGACACCGTCCTGTTCACTAGACTGTTGTTGTGAAGGTGACGAAGTACCTGGCGACTACATCAGGCATGGGGTTTGTGCTTGGAGGGACACAGCCAGTTGTGCTGACCGGTCAATACGATTCTTCCTACGCTGATGATGTGGAGACTCAGCACTCGACTCAGTGTTACTGCTTCAGTCTGGGGGCTGGTGCTGTGTCGTGGAGGTCTACACGGTCGACGTCTGTGGCTTCGTCCAGTGCAGAGGCAGAGATCTACACTGGTGCCATGGCGGCACCGGAGCTTCGCTGGTTGACCTTCTTGCTCACCGACCTTGGTGAGCGGCATCGCTCTACACCGACCTTGTACGCTGACAACAAGGCCATGATCCTCCTGTGTCGAGAGTCTCGACTGGAGAGCAGAGTTAAGCATATTGACGTGAGGTACTTCCTCCTACGAGAGTTGCAGCAACGCGACCAGGCACGCTTTGACTTTGTGGCCTCATAGGCCAACACTGCCGACGTCTTCACCAAGGCCTTGGCGCCTGGTGACCACCACAGGTTCTGTGTGTAGTTGGGGCTTGTTGAGGTTGGCTATTTGCTTTGCTTATTGTGCTTTGCTATATAAATCCTAGTAAACTCTTGAACTGGCCTTGTGGCCGCTTGCTTGTGCTCGGAATTTGTGTGGTGTTCTTGAGATCCATGATGAGCTTGCTTTGCTTCTTCCATTGACTGGTCTTGTGACCGTTTGTTCATTCTGCTTGCTTTGATGCCCCTCACTTAGCCTATGGGGGTGTGTCAAATGTTACTATAGGTTCGTAGGCTACAGTGAGTAGCACTCTAGGGAGTACAACATTTTTAGGGTTGCTATTTGTATCCCTTGTTTTCCTAGTTCACACACTCCGTTGTGTTCCTACTTTGAGACGGAGCGACGAGCAGGAGCGAAGGGGCCAGCAGAGAGACAGGGGAGGAGAGGCGAAGAGTGAGGGGCTGAGAGGGAGGGTTGGAGAGGAGAAGACGGGAAAGAGAGGAAATGAGAAGAAAGGAAAGAAGGGGGGTCAGTGAGAGAAGGGAAGGAAGGGAGGAGGTTGTGCAGGGAAGGGAAGAAGGGGGGTTCAGTGTATGGGGATAAGGGCGAGAGGAGTGGAGGGAGAGGGAGGGGAGTGTCTAAAAGTTTGGGAAGGGAGGAGAAGAGGAGGGAAGGATGAGAGCAGAAGAAACGAGAAAACTGGGCAGAAACGAACGGTGGAGATAAGAAAGAGTGGGAAGGGAAGAGAAGGGAAGAGAGGGCGGGGAAGATTCAGGCACGCGACTGGAGGGTAGGGGCAGAGGGAGAAGGGAGGATAGGAGACGAGAGGCAAGGGAAGTGAGTGGAGGGCGTGGGAAGGGAATGGGGGATCACGGGGGGGAAGTGGTGAGCGATGGGTGGAAGAGAATAAGGGGAGAGGCGGAAAAGGGATGGATGGAAGTAGGAAAGACGGGTCGGAAGAGGGGGGACAGAGGGAGGGGAGAATGGGTAAGGAGAGGGATTGGAGGGTTGGAACTACGAGATGGGAAGGGGGAAGCCCCGAGTAGGGAAGGGGGACCCTCGCGCGTACGGAAGGGGGAAAAATGCGTGTGCGAAAGGGGGAAAACTGCGCGTACGGAAAGGGGGAAAATGCGCGTACGAAAGGGGGGAAAGTGCGCGTACGGAAGGGGGGGAAATGCATGTACGAAAGGGGGAAAACTGCGCGTACTGAAGGGGGGAAAATGCGCACCCGAGAAGGGGAAAACTACGCGTACGGAAGGGGGGGAAATGGCGGGTAGGGTCCGCGCGCGGCTTCGTCGCGGGTGTGGACAGAGCGCTTTCGTGGGTTATATTTGCTTGTGCTGCTGACACGTGGATGGAACGGGAAGCACCGCACTGACCGTGCTGGCTATTTTCCCGTGTAACGAATGGTGATTATAACGAGAAGGATGCGTAAGCGCTTGCCGCCATGACCGGCGACGCCAAGGGGAGGTTCGCGGCGCGGTAGCAGGAACACTACGCTGGTTACTGGAGCGACGCGAAGAATAGCAAAAAGCTTCGATGCCGTCACATGAAGGCATTGGGGCGACAAACCTGTCCCTCGCGGCACGCACCGGACGCATGACTGCCTCGCGACACGGCTTACGCTTCGACGCTTCGACGCCTCTCCAGATACGCCGATAGATAGGCCGCCGATTGCCTGAGACACGGCTTGCGCTTCGACGAATCAACGCCTCTCAAGATGGACAAAAGAACTGAAGGGATGAGAGCTTATGAAGGAGGAAAGCTTCTGGATTATCTATAGCGAGACCTTTCGGTCCTGTGCCCTGTTGTGAGTGATGAGGAGCCTGGTAAGACGATCTAGGTTGCGGCTTCATCTAGAGTCTATCGAGTGAGAGATGCGAATGAGGGACGGATGACGAGCGGCGGAGAGGGAAGGGAGGCGCGCTACGGCAGGAGCTAATGCGGGACGGAAGGGACGGAGGGTGCTGGGCGACGGCAGGGACGGGGGGGACTGGAGGAAGGACGGAAGGCACGACCGGGACGGAAGTGACGGGCGCGGCGACTAGGACAGACGCGACGAGGGCGACGGGAGGAGCGGGAACGTCGAGAGCCACTAGCGAGACGGGACCTACGAGTGCGATTGGAGAAGCGGGTGCGGCGGGTACGACGGATTAGATGGTGTATGAGATATATTTGCGCGTACCGCGAGAGATCCGATGAAATGGGCGTTACGTGGGGGACGGTGGAGACCTATACTATGCAAACTGACGGAAGTCCCATTACAAAATCCTGGGTGCTTGGCGTAGTTATCGGTAGCGGACGATATTGTGGGCTACGAAACCTATTATTCAACTGAGTCTATAATGGTAGCTTCAAGCTTCAAGCTTCAAGTTTCCGGAAGTGTGAACAGTGGCCCCGGTTCTTGTTTGTTCTGGCGAGTGTCGACGTGGTTTTGCTGTTGTGCTTTTGGCCAATCATAATACTGTGCTTCAAACGCCTTCACAGTGGATCGCGAGAGAGCCCCACACAACGGCGGGTTACCGTTTTCACTGGCGAAATCATGTTCAAGAATCTTGAACTTGAACACTTGCCAGTCTACACGGCACACCTACCAATAATGCAGTAATTACCTGCATTCTTCTTGACTTAGTAAAATAGCAATAAAAGCGTGCAGAATTGCTACTTGTGAAATTATAAGGGTGAGCTCGCAATGCGAGATAGTTGCTGCGACACGACAAGGCGCAACCGCAGGGAGGTGAGTCAGGGTAGGTCAACCCAGCCATCACTTGCCATCTGTCAGCGACGGCTGATCACCGACGTGTTGAACCGACCATCACTCTTTCGCTCACGTCCACTCAACCCCCAGGAACAGCGGGCGTGCCTTCTAAGGCAACTGGTAACACTAATTTCGCATGCTTTCGTGACCATCTTCTGAAGTGAAATGTGGAGGCATTCGTGACTTTGGTCGCAGCCTGTCGATGAGCGACAGCGCGACTCGGTGAGGGAAGGGGAAGGGAACTTCGCCCGATGATGTCGAGACTCCACTCAAGGCGAGATGGGTGGGTGTCGTGAGAGATGTGAGGGTGCGTTGGTAGGTTCGCTGCTTTTGCTGTATTGCGTGCTGCTGCCCCCCAACCCAACTTGTGTGGTACGCACATCATCAACTGCGTGGGGCGTGAGAGTAGATGGCTTCAACCAACCATGGCTGCCGCATTGCCGCATCAAAGTGGAGAGGTACAAAACAGCCACACCGACCAGTGCAGTGATGCATACGCATCTGGTTTGAGAGAAGGATTCGACTAGTGCTAGCTTAACCCGCTAAAACAAGCCGCTACCGTCGAGCTAAGGTGTAGCCAACTCAAAAAGCGTGTCAGATATCATTGCCTGTCGCGGGCCGCATGGTCCGTTGAGGGCATGTACGACCTGCACCGCATCGAGTCCGCCATCCGCCATCGTAGGAAGTCACATATCACAACGGCTCGCATGCACCTCCCGAGGCCTTTATATAGCTCCCACTATCACAGAGTCTACTCACTACCGCTTGCACTGCCGAGCTATCGATTACTCTTTCCGCAGCACGAAGTCGCTGTGAGTCGCACAGCCTCGCAGACGAAACGGAAACTCGCGGTAGGATTCTCACCGCCGCCAGGCGCGCAGATTGCCGCCTGGCTTCGCTCTCCCCGCCGCGCTCATTCCGCTTCTCATCCCCGCGCCGACCATGGCGGCGACGGCCTTCCCCTCGCTCTCCTCGACTGTAGCTCCCCCACCTTCCGCCCTCTGGTCCGCCAACCTCTCCGTGAGTCCCCCCGGCCTTCCCCCATCAGGGCGCTTGCGCCGCTTCCCCCATCAGGGCGCTTGCGCCGCTTCCCCCATCAGCGCGCTTGCGCCGCTTCCTCCATCAGCGCGCTTGCGCCGCTATTTCCATCAGCGCGAGCTCATACGCGGAAGCCGCCGCAGCTTGCCGTCGATCATGGCATCATCTTGTCCTCTTCCTCCTTACCTCGTCCCAACTAATTCGTCGTTAATCTTAATCGTCTCCAACGCTAATTTGCCGAAACCCCCACTTTTGCCCTTCCCTAGGCGCCGTACTCGACAAACGAGCCGTGGCAGAACTTCGTGCTGGGGCAGGGCGGCAGCCCGGAGCTCGTCAGCCCGTACGTGGTCCAGAGCGGCGACGGGCGTGTCGCGTGGGGGATACCGGCGCGCAACGCACAGACAGCATACATCATCCAGGCGTTTATCACCAACCTCATGCTCTCCACGCTGCAAGGCCTCCCGCCGCACCAAGTCTCCGCGTACGACGATCTCTCCGTTACCCTCTCCTTCCGCCAGCCTTCCGCCGCGCCCTCCGCGCCCCCCGCGCTCGTGGTTCCGCTCGTGCGCGGCTCCCCCTATTTGACTTTCATATTCCCCCAGGGCGGGGCCCCCGCGACGCCCGTGCTCAAGACGATCCACGCGATTCTGAGCGTAGAGACACGCGGCGACAGCAAGTACCGCGTCGCGCTCAACAACGGCCAGGTGAGATCACCGCGCTTGTTGTGCGCCTCTCTGCGCGCATCTGCCGCGCCGACACTGGCGCACTCCCCCCCCCCCGTTCTGCGTCCAATATGGCCGTATCCCATTTCGTTTGTTTTTGCCCATACATCGTCCCTGCTGTCTACCCCTCCGCTTGCTTGCAACACCCATGCAATCCTCTGAACCCAAGCCAACCCCGCATTTACCGCATCCGACCACGTACCGCGCCTACTCCCCGGCTGGCAGACGTGGCTGGTGTATCTCTCGTCGCCGCTAGCGCTGCGGCAGGATGGATCATCGATTGTGGCGGCCGCGCCGTTCACGGGAACCATGCGCATCGCGCTGCTGCCAGACAACTCCCCGCAGCGCGAGGAGGCGCTGCTGGACGCGCATGTGGCGACGGTGCCGGTCGGCGGGCGCGCGCGTGTGGGCGCGTTCCGCATCAAGTTAAGCTGGCGCACGCAGCAGTGGCGCAAGTTGGCTCCCGGCGGCACCAAAACGCCGCTGCTCATGCTGTCTCTGCCAGGTCAGTTGCGGTTTGCCACGTGTACTGCCGTGTGTGATGCCACCTGTACCGCGATTCATGAGGCGCCTCAAAAGCTGCCCACTTGTGCCGCTATTGATATGGAATGCCATCACAAGCGTCGCCATGCTGTTGTTCCGAACGTCACAAGAGTCCCTGTCAACACCCATCACCCTCATCGTCTTTCCATTCAAACTAGACATATCTTCTTCACATGATGCAATGCAACAACAAACAATAAGCGTGGCTACCCCCCTTGTCCCCCATGTGCAGTGCACCAGCGCCTGCGAGTGTTCGCGCACAACCCCACCCCGGCCTCCGCCCTCCGCCGTCACCGCAGCGTGTCCCCTTTCGACAATAGCGCGCCCGCCATCCGCGTCTCCGCGCCTGGCGGCCTCTCCTCCACGCGCGCCGACGGCGGGTGGGGCGAGACGGGGTGGGACTCCGACAACAGCAGCGGCAGCAGCAGCAGCGACAGCGAAACGGGGTCCCTCCCTCAGGGCAATGCAGCTTCATGGGTTACGGGACCCGCGTCAGCAGCAGCATCCGGCGCAAGCGACCCTGCAGCGTCGAACCAGGGAGCCATGGCATCAACATCGGCGTCGCCCGCATCGTGGCATGGACAGGCGACACAAGATACGGTGCTGTCATACCCCACCTTAGACGGGCGCGCAGTGGGCGTGAAAGGCGCGGTATGGGAGCTCAAAGTGCCTAAGACGCCCACCACGTGGCACTCTCCCAGCCTCTCGTCCGACCCGCAGTTGATGGACGAGTTAAGGGCGAGTCTGAAGCAGGACGTCGCGGCGCTCCCGCCGCTCACCACGGCCTCGACCTACTTCTTCGGCAAGGCTGCGGCGCGCGCGGCGCGCCTCGCGCTGATCGCGGAGCAGGTGCACGACGACGGCAGCCTCGCCGCGGTCCTGCCGCCGCTGCGCGCCGCGCTGACCGCCTGGCTGGACGGCACCTTCCCCGGAAACCGCCTGCTGTACGACCCCACGTGGGGGGGCGTGGTTAGCGAAGCCGGGTCGCGCGACAAGGGCGCGGATTTCGGTCTAGGTATGTATAACGACCATCACTTCCACTACGGCTACTTCGTCTACGCTGCCGCGACCGTCGCGAAATTCGACCCGATGTGGGGTAGCCGTTACCGCGCGCAGCTCGCGGCGCTCGTCGCGGACTTCATGTCGGTGAACCGAACCGCGGCGTTCCCGAGGCTGCGCCACTTCGACGCGTACGCGCTGCACTCGTGGGCGAGCGGGCTGTTCGACTTCGGCGACGGTCGCAACCAGGAGAGCTTCAGCGAAGCCGCGAATGCGTACTACGCCGCGTCGCTCCTCGCGTTCACCTTCGGCGACCTGCCATTGGCCACGCTCGGCGCCACGCTGGCAGCCGTGGAGTCCGTCGCGGCGCAGGTGCTGATGCAGGTGCCGGCGGCCGGAAGCTCCTCGTCTCCCCCGCCGTCGCTGTCGCCCGCGTACGAGCCGGTATTCGCGGACGCGAATCGCATGCTGGGCATGGTGTGGTCCACGAAGCGCGACGCGGGGCTGTGGTTCGCGGCGCCTGCTGAGCTGGACAAGCGCGTGGGCATCCAGGTGCTGCCAATCACGCCCTTCCTCGCGCACCTCTTCCCCGACCGCGCGTACGCGCGCCAGCTGGTGGAATGGGCGCAACCTGTGCTGAGCGGGAGCGGAGTGACGGACGAGTGGCGGGGGTTCGCGTGGGCGCTGCAGGCGCTGTATGATCCCCAGGGGGCGCGGACTAGAATCGGCGCACTGGGTGCTTTCGATGACGGGAATTCCAAGACGAACATGCTGTGGTGGCTCGCTTCTAACACGCCGTAGTGGCTTGAATGGACGGATCAAAGCCCAAGACCTGAATGGGATGCTTGTGAGACTCTCAAAAGTTGGTGCGCTGGGTGCTTCAGATGACGGCAACTGCAAGGCGAACATGCTCTGGTGACTCGCTTCCAACACACCGTAGCTTGCTTTAACAGACTGACTGGAATGCTAGTTACGGTTTACTGGTAGAATGATGGTTGTGCACAGGTCTGGGATGGGATGGCCCACGCACAGACTTACACATGTATGTAGTGCTGTTTATACTACATCTGCTGCCGTTTTGCCTTGAGTTGAGATGCATCTTGACTTCCTTCCCTTCCCTTCCCTTTTCTTCTCTTCCAGATGCTGTAGTCATCTTGTGAGCCAGCCACTAGTGTTTGGATCAGTGATACGGTAGCAGTAACCCTAGGGTCTTACGCTAAATCCCTAGAAAAGGAAAAAATATAACACCCGGGTCTTTTCATATGGCATATTTGTTTTAGTGTTTTCAACACTACAATTAATACAAAAGTTGTGGGATTCCTTTTGGTGACCACCAAGCCAGCGAAAGTTGATCGCTTGACCAGTCAACAAATTCGCCTGTCACAGTAAAATTCGCCCCTCTAGTGCAGCAATTTCGCCCCCTGATACAGCAACTTCGCCACCTGACGCAGCAAATTCGCCCCCTGACGCAGCAAACTCGCCCCCTGACGCAGCAAACTCGCCCCCTGACGCAGCAAATAAGCCCCCTGACACGGGAATTCACCCCCCGCCAGCAAAATTCGCACTATAGAATGTTCCAGTTTCAAATGAAACAAAGGAGAAGTACATGGGAAACTCCCCTATAGGAGAAAGGGGAGGGGGTCTTATATTGATCACCCCCAAAGGAGGGGTATAACGAAATCGAGGTTTAATAAAGTACCCCCCCCCCCCCCCCCCCCCCTGTATTAGGTACCCGGGGGTGTTGTATTTTGGGGGGGTCTTCTATCCGGGGGAATACGGTACTAATGGAGGTGATTTGTAGGGCATTCAACGCATGAGGCATTTCAAATGCCACAGATGAGAGCAAGAGCCAACTCACTGGCGTCCTTGCTCACCCTCATACCACGGAAACCAGGTGGAAAATCATGAAGGGATGGTGCCAGATCACTTCCCCCACTCCCCTGGCAAGCACCATCACCTGTTCACTACAAGAAGAGGCATGCTAAGCCAACTTCTCTAATCGCGAATCTGATGAGACCACGGCTTAGGAGGAGGATGTGGGACTGGGAGCAGAATACGGTACAATACGGTAGGTACCGGTATGCAATTGGCAATGTCGAAATCCCATGTGAAAAACTACCATGTGCATAACCTTTTTTTGCTAGACCTGTACCCTGTTGGTGTGAGATATTTGTCATGTCAACCATCCATGGAAATACTCAATAATCCATCCAAACTTCAATCAACCCCTCTTCACGCATGCTAGCCATGGGTGAAATGTTTCAGCGGGCTATATACCGTCATACCCCGGATATACCCCCATGGGGGGCAATAATAAAACAGGTTTTTTCAGGGGGGTGGGCTTATAATCGAGTAAATTTATAAGCGCCGGCGTTTATAAAATGACATATATATTTTTTCTATTTTTTTAACACCAAACTGTAGATCTCGTGCTTGCCTTTCCAATCGAGTCGAAGTTACATGGGGTCGTCTGTGAAATTCTCGCGCGCGCTGGGAGATACACCCAATCTGACACATCCAGCTCCTTGTCAAGTTAAGGAGGTACTTAGGTTTAGGATGCCTAGGCTTAGGAGCCTAGGCAAGGAGGGTATCGAGTAGGTTGTGCCAAAGGATAGCGAGAATGGAGGGGATTCACTATAGGAAAAACAGAACATATAGGAGAAAGGAGGGGAGGTGCACCACCAACACAAGAAGCATATAGCTACACTAGGATCAACTGTAGGCAGGTATATATATGTAACAAATACATTTCAACACTCCTGACAGCTCCTGACAGCTCCTGCTGACTGGACCCGCATCCAGTGCAGGGTCCGAATGTGAAGGGAACCGAATCTGCAACACATCCGCCTGCTAAAGTAAAAATTGTTACAGCATTTTGGACACATTTCAAAATTTAAAGTTTACGTGCGCTTATAATAAAACAAGTTTTTTCAGGGGGTGCGCTTATAATCGAGCAGCGGATATAAGCGCCATGCGCCAATTAAAAGCGCCAGGCGCTTATCCGAGGGTGGCGCTTGTATCCGGGGTATGACGGTACAGTAGAATTACAGTTGTTGAAACATATATACTAGGCCCAGTGAGTATAAACGCATCCTAATACATCTTATGGCAGTATCTTCTGTGAGGCCAAGATGAACCAGCAAATACACATGTCCCCACTGCCAAGGCAAGAAGGGTTGAGCAGAGGTGTGTGCGGCCCCCTGGCGCTAACAGCGGTTCCCCTGGTGCTCGAGGTTGTTAGGCGATGCGCCTGTTATTATTGCTGCTGCTGCTGCTGCTGCTGCTGCTGTTGCTGGTGCCACTGTCTGCTGACAATGTGGTTGGTGCAAGGGAGGTGCGGCATGGCATGGCAACAAATGCTGCTGTGCTCACAACAAGACCAACAAGAGATGAGAAACGTGGGAGTGGAGAGTGGCTGTCAGCTGCCGGCCCTGCGAGCCAGCAGCATGGATGTGCCAGCAAAGGAAGCTGCCCCCACTGCCACCGCCACAAGAGCCGAAGCCACCCATTGGCCGTTGGCTGTGCTGCTGCTGTTGGCACTGCTGTTGCTGGTGGTGCTGTTGTAGCTGGTGTTGCTGCTGGTGCTGCTGAGGGTGGCAAACGAGAAGGCTGCAGGCCAGTATGAGGTGCGTGGTGGCGTTGATGGTTGCTGCTGTGCCTCTTGCAGCAGCGTGCAGAGCGATTGAATCTGCACAGGCCAGATGAGCAACGGGAAAGGAAGGGAGATGGAATAAAACGAAACAGTGTGAGGGTTTGGGCGCAAGGCCTACTGATGTTACAGAAAATGTTGCACCATCTCGTTACAGCTACAGGGTGAGTGACCACAGGTTGGCTTCATAAGACAAGGGCTGTTTATGGTGCAAGCAACAGAGCGGGAAAAAAGGATCATAGGGAGAAAAAAAAGCACCATATGACTCCTACCGAGCCCCTCAGCTGTTCCTCCTCTCTCAATGCCTCCCGCAACCCAGCTTCCATCTTCTGACTCGTCTCCACCAGCAACTCAGCCAAACTCGAGAATTAGTGATCAAAGCTTCAGCCATACATGCTCACCTCGCCCTCTTTCCTTTGTGTGGCGGGAACAGCTTAGCTTAGCAGCAAGAACCACACAGGTGAGCCACGCTGCAGCAGATGAGTGTCCACTGGGGCTGACCAATAAAAGTGGATTCTGATTCTACCACCTTGGCACCGCTCCTCACCTGGCGAGTCATGTGCCTATGCTGCTCCGCCACCGCACTCACATCCCTCTGCAGCAGAAGAGTGTCTGGTAGGGGTGATCACAACAAGTATGTTCTCATTCTACCACCCTGCCACTGCCACTCACCTGCTGTCTCAACAGCCCTCACCTGGCGAGTCATGTGCCTCTGCTGCTCTGCGACCGCACTCACATCCATCTGCAGCCCGCTCCCTCCTCCCACACCCTCCCTCGCACCCTTGTGACTCGCTTCACTATGAAGAGACGTCTCAAAAGCCAAAACCCTCACCTGGCGAGTCATGTGCCTCTGTTGCTCCGCCACCGCACTCACATCCCTCTGCAGCCCGCTCCCTCCTCCCACACCCTCTCTCCCAGCCTTGTCGCCATCCTGCCCCAGCGGGACAAACACTCCGCCATTCTGTGCAGCATGACCGCTTGAGCCCTGCTGTCCCTGTGGACCGCCCTCAGCCGTGCGCCCGCCTTGCCCCTCTGCTCGACTGGCAAGGCTGGAGGCAGGTGGCTTGCTGCTGCCAGTGTTGTGTGCCTGCCCGGCCTGCTCCAAGCGCAGCAGCAACCGGTCCATCTGCTGTGCGATGCTCGCCAGCTTGCCCTCCACGTCCTCGTTGCTGCGCAGCTGTGCACCACGGGAGAGCACAGGGGGGGGTTGAGGTGACTTTGAGTCGACTAAATGGCCGGTCCATCTGATGTGCGATGCTCGCTAGCTTGCCCTCCACGTCCTCGTTGCTCTGCAGCTGAACACCAAGGGGGGGCGTGGAAAGCAGAGGACAGCACAGCACAGGGAGGAGCGAGGTGACTTGCAAGTTGACTCAACAGCCAGTCCATCTGCTGTGCAATGCTCGCCAGCTTGCCGTCCACGTCCTCGTTGCTGCGCAGCTGCACACGTGGACAGCACAACACAGTGGGGGGGGGATGTAACTAGTGAGTCAACTCAACAGCCGGTCCATCTGCTGTGCGATGCTCATCAGCTTGTGGCCCATCAACTGGTTGCTCTGCAACTGTGCACCAAGGGAGAGGGCGGATAGCACAGGAGGATGAGGAGGTGAGAGGTGGGGTGGGATGGGGTGGGGTGGGCTGGGCATAGAAAGCAGACGGGCACGAAAAGAGGGGAAGAGGGTGAGAGCAAGATGTGGAGTGGGACACAGCAGTGCGCATGCTGCGATGTGGCAGCGCAATGCTGCTATGCTCCACAGAGGGGCAATTCGGTGAGGTCACGACTCAAGAAGAGGCTCCGGGAGGCGTCGTTGCAGTGAGCAGCCGAACCATCTCATAGCAAAAGAGCCTCGTACCATCTGTGCCACTGCTGATGCCGACACCACCACTGGCGCCTGCTGCTGCTGCCGCTCCTGCTGCTCATCATCATTCCGTTCTTGATGACTGCGAGACGCGCCCCTCCCACCACCACCACCACCACCACCACCACCACCACCACCCCGCGCTGGGCTTGCCTCCACCGCCCGCCGCCCCCGCCCTCCCTCACCCTGCTCGGCGTCCCCCTCTCCCCCCTCCCCGCGGCTCCCTCTGGCGTCCAGTTTGAGCAGCTCCAGGGCCGTGGCGGAGCAGGCTGAGCGCATGGTGCTGATCTCCGCCTTGGCTAAAGCAGCTGTGGGCGCTGGCATGCTGGTGGGGGTGCAAATGGGCAATGGGGGAACGGAGCAGGGAAAGGGTAAGGCGGTCAGCTCAAGGGCTGTAGCGGAGCAGGCAGAGCGCATGGTGCTGATCTCCGCCTTGGCTAGCGCGGCCGTGGGTGCTGGCATGCTGTGAGAATGTACAAGTGGGGAAGGGGGAGTGGGGCAAGGGGGTAAGCTGCTGGGCAGTAGCAGAGCAGGCGGAGCGCATGGTGCTGATCTCCGCCTTGGCCAGGGCGGCTGTGGGGGCAGGCATGCTGTGAGTGAGTGCATGGGGGGGAACCAGGGGAGAGAGGGGGAGAGACTGTAAGCTCCAGGGCAGTGGCAGAGCAGGCAGAGCGCATGGTGCTGATCTCCGCCTTGGCTAGCGCTGCTGTAGGTGCTGGCATGCTGTGGGTGCGTACATGCATGGGGCTAAGCGGGGAACGGAGAGAGAGAGCGGGAGAGCAGGAGTGCAAGGCGAGCCCAGTGCATGGTGCGCCTCTGTGAGTCTGCATTGGCTAAAACACACGCAGGAGCCAAGTGAGAAAGTGCACGACGGCACAAGTGAGGGACTGCAAGAGGCGCCGAATGAACCTGGCCAATTTAGACAATGAGGACCCAGCAGCAACACCCAGCAGCAACACCCAGCAGCAACACCCAGCAGCGGTGTGCAATACACAAGCTGACACCCAGCAACAAGTGTTGTGAGGGAAGGCACACACCTGTCTGGAGATGGGTCTCCCTGTCCCATGGACGCTAGGCTCTTGCTGTAGACAGGGCGTAGGGAGAGCAGGGAGGGCAAAGAGGGCAAGGAGAGCAGGGAGAGCAAGGAGAGCAGGGAGAGCAGGAAGAGCAGGAAGAGCAGGGAGGGCAGGGAGGGCAGGGAGAGCAGGGAGAGCAGGGAGAGCAGAGAGAGCAGGAAGAGGGAGGGCAGGGAGGGCAGGGACACAGGGGATGTCAGATTGAGCACACAGGGAAGCGGTGATGCGAGGGTTGCAGATGGAGTGGAGTGGAGGAAAGAGCAGCAACAGGCCAGCGTGGGTGGGCGCAGGAGGGGAGCAAGACGAGAGGAGGAGGGCGGGGGTAAGCAGGAGGGGGAGCAAGACGAGAGGAGGAGGGCGGGGGTAAGCAGGAGGGGGAGAAAGACGAGAGGAGGAGGGCGGGGGTAAGCAGGAGGGGGAGCAAGACGAGAGGAGGAGGGCCGGGGTAAGCAGGAGGGGGAGCAAGACGAGAGGAGGAGGGCGGGGGTAAGCAGGAGGGGGAGCAAGACGAGAGGAGGAGGGCGGGGGTAAGCAGGAGGGGGAGCAAGACGAGAGGAGGAGGGCGGGGGTAAGCAGGAGGGGGAGCAAGACGAGAGGAGGAGGGCGGGGGTAAGCAGGAGGGGGAGCAAGACGAGAGGAGGAGGGCGGGGGTAAGCAGGAGGGGGAGGAAGACGAGAGGAGGAGGGCGGGGGTAAGCAGGAGGGGGAGAAAGACGAGAGGAGGAGGGCGGGGGTAAGTAGGAGGGGGAGCAAGACGAGAGGAGGAGGGCCGGGGTAAGCAGGAGGGGGAGCAAGACGAGAGGAGGAGGGCGGGGGTAAGCAGGAGGGGGAGCAAGACGAGAGGAGGAGGGCGGGGGTAAGCAGGAGGGGGAGCAAGACGAGAGGAGGAGGGCGGGGGTAAGCAGGAGGGGGAGCAAGACGAGAGGAGGAGGGCGGGGGTAAGCAGGAGGGGGAGCAAGACGAGAGGAGGAGGGCGGGGGTAAGCAGGAGGGGGAGCAAGACGAGAGGAGGAGGGCGGGGGTAAGCAGGAGGGGGAACAAGCCGAGAGGAGGAGGGCGGGGGTAAGCAGGAGGGGGAGCAAGACGAGAGGAGGAGGGCGGGGGTAAGCAGGAGGGGGAGAAAGACGAGAGGAGGAGGGCGGGGGTAAGCAGGAGGGGGAGCAAGACGAGAGGAGGAGGGCCGGGGTAAGCAGGAGGGGGAGCAAGACGAGAGGAGGAGGGCGGGGGTAAGCAGGAGGGGGAGCAAGACGAGAGGAGGAGGGCGGGGGTAAGCAGGAGGGGGAGCAAGACGAGAGGAGGAGGGCGGGGGTAAGCAGGAGGAGGAGCAAGACGAGAGGAGGAGGGCGGGGGTAAGCAGGAGGGGGAGCAAGACGAGAGGAGGAGGGCGGGGGTAAGCAGGAGGGGGAGGAAGACGAGAGGAGGAGGGCGGGGGTAAGCAGGAGGGGGAGAAAGACGAGAGGAGGAGGGCGGGGGTAAGTAGGAGGGGGAGCAAGACGAGAGGAGGAGGGCCGGGGTAAGCAGGAGGGGGAGCAAGACGAGAGGAGGAGGGCGGGGGTAAGCAGGAGGGGGAGCAAGACGAGAGGAGGAGGGCGGGGGTAAGCAGGAGGGGGAGCAAGACGAGAGGAGGAGGGCGGGGGTAAGCAGGAGGGGGAGCAAGACGAGAGGAGGAGGGCGGGGGTAAGCAGGAGGGGGAGCAAGACGAGAGGAGGAGGGCGGGGGTAAGCAGGAGGGGGAGCAAGACGAGAGGAGGAGGGCCGGGGTAAGCAGGAGGGGGAGCAAGACGAGAGGAGGAGGGCGGGGGTAAGCAGGAGGGGGAGCAAGACGAGAGGAGGAGGGCGGGGGTAAGCAGGAGGGGGAGCAAGACGAGAGGAGGAGGGCGGGGGTAAGCAGGAGGGGGAGCAAGACGAGAGGAGGAGGGCGGGGGTAAGCAGGAGGGGGAGCAAGACGAGAGGAGGAGGGCGGGGGTAAGCAGGAGGGGGAGCAAGACGAGAGGAGGAGGGCGGGGGTAAGCAGGAGGGGGAGCAAGACGAGAGGAGGAGGGCGGGGGTAAGCAGGAGGGGGAGGAAGACGAGAGGAGGAGGGCGGGGGTAAGCAGGAGGGGGAGAAAGACGAGAGGAGGAGGGCGGGGGTAAGCAGGAGGGGGAGCAAGACGAGAGGAGGAGGGCCGGGGTAAGCAGGAGGGGAGCAAGACGAGAGGAGGAGGGCGGGGGTAAGCAGGAGGGGGAGCAAGACGAGAGGAGGAGGGCGGGGGTAAGCAGGAGGGGGAGAAAGACGAGAGGAGGAGGGCGGGGGTAAGCAGGAGGGGGAGCAAGACGAGAGGAGGAGGGCCGGGGTAAGCAGGAGGGGGAGCAAGACGAGAGGAGGAGGGCGGGGGTAAGCAGGAGGGGGAGCAAGACGAGAGGAGGAGGGCGGGGGTAAGCAGGAGGGGGAGCAAGACGAGAGGAGGAGGGCGGGGGTAAGCAGGAGGGGGAGCAAGACGAGAGGAGGAGGGCGGGGGTAAGCAGGAGGGGGAGCAAGACGAGAGGAGGAGGGCGGGGGTAAGCAGGAGGGGGAGGAAGACGAGAGGAGGAGGGCGGGGGTAAGCAGGAGGGGGAGAAAGACGAGAGGAGGAGGGCGGGGGTAAGTAGGAGGGGGAGCAAGACGAGAGGAGGAGGGCCGGGGTAAGCAGGAGGGGGAGCAAGACGAGAGGAGGAGGGCGGGGGTAAGCAGGAGGGGGAGCAAGACGAGAGGAGGAGGGCGGGGGTAAGCAGGAGGGGGAGCAAGACGAGAGGAGGAGGGCGGGGGTAAGCAGGAGGGGGAGCAAGACGAGAGGAGGAGGGCGGGGGTAAGCAGGAGGGGGAGCAAGACGAGAGGATGAGGGCGGGGGTAAGCAGGAGGGGGAGCAAGACGAGAGGAGGAGGGCGGGGGTAAGCAGGAGGGGGAACAAGCCGAGAGGAGGAGGGCGGGGGTAAGCAGGAGGGGGAGCAAGCCGAGAGGAGGAGGGCGGGGGTAAGCAGGAGGGGGAGCAAGCCGAGAGGAGGAGGGCGGGGGTAAGCAGGAGGGGGAGCAAGCCGAGAGGAGGAGGGCGGGGGTAAGCAGGAGGGGGAGCAAGCCGAGAGGAGGAGGGCGGGGGTAAGCAGGAGGGGGAGCAAGCCGAGAGGAGGAGGGCGGGGGTAAGCAGGAGGGGGAGCAAGCCGAGAGGAGGAGGGCGGGGGTAAGCAGGAGGGGGAGCAAGCCGAGAGGAGGAGGGCGGGGGTAAGCAGGAGGGGGAGCAAGCCGAGAGGAGGAGGGCGGGGGTAAGCAGGAGGGGGAGCAAGCCGAGAGGAGGAGGGCGGGGGTAAGCAGGAGGGGGAGCAAGCCGAGAGGAGGAGGGCGGGGGTAAGCAGGAGGGGGAGCAAGCCGAGAGGAGGAGGGCGGGGGTAAGCAGGAGGGGGAGCAAGCCGAGAGGAGGAGGGCGGGGGTAAGCAGGAGGGGGAGCAAGCCGAGAGGAGGAGGGCGGGGGTAAGCAGGAGGGGGAGCAAGCCGAGAGGAGGAGGGCGGGGGTAAGCAGGAGGGGGAGCAAGCCGAGAGGAGGAGGGCGGGGGTAAGCAGGAGGGGGAGCAAGCCGAGAGGAGGAGGGCGGGGGTAAGCAGGAGGGGGAGCAAGCCGAGAGGAGGAGGGCGGGGGTAAGCAGGAGGGGGAGCAAGCCGAGAGGAGGAGGGCGGGGGTAAGCAGGAGGGGGAGCAAGCCGAGAGGAGGAGGGCGGGGGTAAGCAGGAGGGGGAGCAAGCCGAGAGGAGGAGGGCGGGGGTAAGCAGGAGGGGGAGCAAGCCGAGAGGAGGAGGGCGGGGGTAAGCAGGAGGGGGAGCAAGCCGAGAGGAGGAGGGCGGGGGTAAGCAGGAGGGGGAGCAAGCCGAGAGGAGGAGGGCGGGGGTAAGCAGGAGGGGGAGCAAGCCGAGAGGAGGAGGGCGGGGGTAAGCAGGAGGGGGAGCAAGCCGAGAGGAGGAGGGCGGGGGTAAGCAGGAGGGGGAGCAAGCCGAGAGGAGGAGGGCGGGGGTAAGCAGGAGGGGGAGCAAGCCGAGAGGAGGAGGGCGGGGGTAAGCAGGAGGGGGAGCAAGCCGAGAGGAGGAGGGCGGGGGTAAGCAGGAGGGGGAGCAAGCCGAGAGGAGGAGGGCGGGGGTAAGCAGGAGGGGGAGCAAGCCGAGAGGAGGAGGGCGGGGGTAAGCAGGAGGGGGAGCAAGCCGAGAGGAGGAGGGCGGGGGTAAGCAGGAGGGGGAGCAAGCCGAGAGGAGGAGGGCGGGGGTAAGCAGGAGGGGGAGCAAGCCGAGAGGAGGAGGGCGGGGGTAAGCAGGAGGGGGAGCAAGCCGAGAGGAGGAGGGCGGGGGTAAGCAGGAGGGGGAGCAAGCCGAGAGGAGGAGGGCGGGGGTAAGCAGGAGGGGGAGCAAGCCGAGAGGAGGAGGGCGGGGGTAAGCAGGAGGGGGAGCAAGCCGAGAGGAGGAGGGCGGGGGTAAGCAGGAGGGGGAGCAAGCCGAGAGGAGGAGGGCGGGGGTAAGCAGGAGGGGGAGCAAGCCGAGAGGAGGAGGGCGGGGGTAAGCAGGAGGGGGAGCAAGCCGAGAGGAGGAGGGCGGGGGTAAGCAGGAGGGGGAGCAAGCCGAGAGGAGGAGGGCGGGGGTAAGCAGGAGGGGGAGCAAGCCGAGAGGAGGAGGGCGGGGGTAAGCAGGAGGGGGAGCAAGCCGAGAGGAGGAGGGCGGGGGTAAGCAGGAGGGGGAGCAAGCCGAGAGGAGGAGGGCGGGGGTAAGCAGGAGGGGGAGCAAGCCGAGAGGAGGAGGGCGGGGGTAAGCAGGAGGGGGAGCAAGCCGAGAGGAGGAGGGCGGGGGTAAGCAGGAGGGGGAGCAAGCCGAGAGGAGGAGGGCGGGGGTAAGCAGGAGGGGGAGCAAGCCGAGAGGAGGAGGGCGGGGGTAAGCAGGAGGGGGAGCAAGCCGAGAGGAGGAGGGCGGGGGTAAGCAGGAGGGGGAGCAAGCCGAGAGGAGGAGGGCGGGGGTAAGCAGGAG